GGCGCTCGCCGCCCGGACAGAGTTGGCTCCGCCGAGTCCACCTTTATACCCTGCGGAGCTGTGGAGTCGGCGGAGAAATAGGCTGTTCACCTCGGGCCACATCGTCTCCTTGCACTTGCACCTCGTGTGGCCCTTTTGGTTACTTCGTCTTTGCCAACGCTTCAGCTGCGGGCCCGAGTAGTTCTAAAACCTCCATGCTAGTGGTTTCCGCAGCGCGGCACCAGACCGCAGGGATAGTCTCCAGCGCCTGGGGAAGACGGGGTTCTCGAGAGCTCTGTGGGAGGGCTGACCCTCCGGGTGATCCTGATCCTGGAGATTAGAGAAGCACTGTTCTCCTCAAGGCAGTGCTCCGGGCCTTCTAACTTGTAGGGAAAAGTAAAACCTACCCCTCTTTTATTCATTCCACTCGGTGAGATGAGCGTTTCCTCTCTGAGTTGCTGAGTTTCTCTTCTGCTGTCTTGTTTTCTGTGCAAAGCATCACTACAGACTTACCTAGATGTCTCTTCCCCAGCAATCCAAAGACTGGGAACTTTCTTGTGCCCAGCTGACAAGAATAAAACAGATTGGCTGATTTACAGGCCTACCTGATTACAATCATGTATAAAAATTACCGTAGAAAGGTCGGGGAGAGTGAGCTCCATCAAAGCGGGGTCCATCAAAGAATTCCCAAAGGAAAGGGGCATTTGAGCTGCCTTTCAGGTGGCATTTTGTGAATGGCAAATGGCCTCTTCAGGTGCTTTTCAACCTCGGCTCCAGTGATTTTGTTATCTAACAGCTTTCAGATGTGACAGATTGTATTTTTCAACGATAGCTGCTCTGATATAGATCTTGACCCACACGCCCTTCTTACAATACAGTGGCATCAACACTCTTTCATCAAGTGGTATCTGCTTGCCTCTACCCCTGAGCTACACCTCCAGCCCTGTCCTTGCTTTTAAATCTGGAGATACCTTTGCAGCTCCTTGGACCAGGAGAAACTGGCAGCAGCAATGCTGCATGGCTTCTGGGACTAAGTCCTAACAAGTTTTGGCTTCCTCCTGGCTCTTCTACTTGAGCTGCAGCCCTTGGGAGCCTAAGCTGATGTAAAAAGACTGGCTTCCTTGCAGCTGCCTTGCTGGGGAGCGCATGTAGAGTGGTTACCCAGAGCCATAGCTTGGGAGCCTGAAGCCTCATCCTCTAGATGTCTGGTTCTAGTGAGGCTTCAGGTGATTCTGCCTTTCAAACTATGAACCGTTCTACTTAACCATGAGGGGAGCAGAGATAAGCTGTTGCTGCCCAACTGCCTGCGTGTGAGCAAAGCAAAGGTTGTTTTACTGCCCTAGGTCTTGGCGTGGTTTATTGCAGTTAGATGACTGAACACTGGTGTTTGAGCACAGCTCCATTCTTCCCTAATTTTCATTACTACAAACATTTCCAGTGACTTTATTAACATTCCTTAAGTGTTACAGATTAGAGTTCAAGCACAGATAACGTTTCCACACAAAATATCCCTTCTCTGGGACCTACTGCCTGCTACGTACTCCCTCACTCCCACCCCACTAGGGAGTGGAAGTCATGCTTTAATACAGGTGTGACCTTAAGTCAATTCTCTGGGCATTATTGAGGATAAAATGTGTTTACCTGGATAGAAGGATAGATTGAGAAATTTGGGAGACTCCTTTTATTGTACACAGCTAAATTAGTTGGATGTATTATAGTCAGACAGGAGTCAATATAGAAAACAATTGAAGCACATTTACCAAAGGCCAGGATTCAAGAGGAACTACCATACCCATATACTTCTCCTAGGGATGAATACCAGTGACTGATAGTCTTCTTTTTTGGTAGGGGATCGAACCTTTTGCTTGCAAGGCAGGCGGTGGAACCACTGAGCTAAATCCCGGGCCCAGGTGACTGATATTCTAAGTAGGCATCCATCCCTTGGGTGCAGACCAAACTCTCCCTAGCCCATTCCTTCCCTGAAAAACCTTTTTTATTCTATGTACACTTGCTTCATGACTGGCTTTCCCATTTGATCCCCATTTAATCAATATTACTTAAGCGACTATACTTGTAATCTTATTGGTTCAACCTGGTTTTGTCCCAACTCACTTTATTAGTTGACTATGGTAACTTGAACTCGCTTCACCTTCTGGCTTTGCTCAAAATACCCTTGAGAAGCGGGGTTGATGGACAACCCACTTTCTGGGTGTCCCCTCCTGGCTCAGGCAGGAGCTGTCTTTCCCTTAGTAAATATTCCTACTCTTAACCTCCATTGTTCCTATAATTCATTGTTTGATTTTTGAGAACATGAACTTGGTGTTTCAGATATCTAGCAGGTTGGGAGTTATATTTCCCTTATTTATTATTATTGTTATTGTTTTTTCGAGACAGGGTCTCACTATGTAGTTGAGACTGAACTGGAACTCACTATGTAGCCCAGGCTGGTCTCGAATTCACAGTGATCTTCCTGCCTCAGCCTCTCGAGTGCTGGGATTACAGGCCTGCAGCACTATGCGTGGCTCTATATTTCCCTTATTTAGATTAATGGTCCACGTATCATACACCCTGTATCACTTTTGCGTCTAAGATCTTTGATTCCAGGTGACATTCATCAGACAAAATTAATTTAAAAGATACATTTGCGAGCAATGTTTCCAGTATGTGAAGGAGTATTACACAGGGTGTGCTGGCCCACATCCATAATCACAGCATTCCAGGAGGCTTAGGCAGGAGAATCAAAACCTCAAGTCCCACCTGGGCAATTTAATGAGATTCTGTCTCAACATAAAAAAAAAGGGGTAGGGATGAAGCTCTGTGTTCAATCCCCAGTACTGAAATTGTCAGAGCAATTCTACATAAATTTGGGGAAAATTTTCAGTTCTATTATGATTAGGCCTAGAATGCCTGCCACAAGTCTATGACATATAACTTCATTTTTGCCACTGGTCACAGCTAAAACCTCAATGGTCCCATGATGTTGTGATGCTCTAAGCCAGGATTAGATCAACTGAAGACATCCTGGGGAGGAACAAAATCTTCATCTGCATACTTCCTCACCGTTCTAGGTTTATCACAGCTGCTGCCCTCTGAGTCATCTGTTACATTTTTACTCCAGGTATACAGAATAAAGGTGTGGCAAGCTTGAGATCTTTAGCCTTTGCTGCCCAGAGTACCATGGATCAGGCCCAAGTTCAGCTTCTCTAAATCTCATTTGTTCATATATTAATTAATTCACCTTGCGCTGTCATGGCTCACATGAGACTTGGACTTAATATAGAGGTTCTAGTAACATCCCTTTTCTCTGTTCCCTACATGAAATAGAAGGAGAAGACAAGAGGTGGGGAGCAGAAAAGAAAGAGGAAGGAGGAAGGGGAGGAGCAGCAGGAGGAGGAGGGGGAAAAGAAGAAGAGGGAGAACAAAGGAGTATTAAACACACATTTTAAAAAAGAAGACAAACACGGTGAAATTGTCATGTGCTCTAAAGTTTAGGAAGGTGGGAGAACAAGCCTTATGTTACAGTATAGAGACTAAGAGAAAATTCAGGAATATCTGGTTGATGTGGACTCTATCAATTAGCTAGACAATACCATAAAATGGAATGCTGTTCATTAAAATGATCATATAAAAGAGAATTTCATGAGTTATGATAACAGGAGGAGGAGGAGGTGGTCAGAATTTGTAGGCAAGCTCTGATGATTGAAAGAGTAAGATGAACATGCTAATAAAAAGTTAGAAATATGAAGGTACAAGCATAGCAAGAGAAAAGTTATTGGTTAAATGTGAAGAAGTTACAAAAAATAGAATCTCATACAAAAGCAAGTGATAGATTAATGCCATTTCCAGATATTTCCTTTTTTCTTTTCTTTTTTGGTACCAGGGATCAAACTCAGGTCCTTGTGCTTATGAGGCAGGCGGCGGAACCACTGCTGGCTATCTTCCACTATCTTCCTTCCAGATATTTAATGAAAACATTAATAGTATTAACTTAAAAGATGGACAGAGAGGTTGAATTATTAGTTGCTAGGTAAGGCTTTTAGAGGCAAGTTACTCAGCTTGCATGGGGTGGGGCAACCTGCTGTACTTTTAAATGACTAATATCTCTTCAAGATTTTATTTCACACAGTAAGTCCCTTCAGAGAAAGACACAAGGAACTAGCTGAAAATAGCCAGGTTATGCTGAGTCATTCTTCTAAATGATCCAGAGTAATGCTCATTACAATGCTATCAATATACAGGTTTCCCTAATGAAACTCTCTCTCTTCCATATTTGAGAAGACACACCTTTGGGAGTTCTCCCAGGGGTCTTCTTAAATGTACAATTACCCTTTCTTCATTCCTTTATCTGTAGGCTGGGATGATTGGCTTTGCATTCACCAAGGTGTGAAACTTCGTGTTTGGTGACAGAATTTCAATTTGGTGTACTCAATCAGGGCAGTCCTGAAAGGCAAGTGCAGGACAGGTTTTTTTGTTTTGTTTTGTATCGGGGACTGGACTCAGGACCTTGCACTTGCGAGGCAGGCGGCAGCACCACTGAGCTAAATCCCCAGTCCAAGGACAGTTTTTTTTTTTTTGGTACCAGGGATTGAACTCCGGTCCTTGCGCTTGCGAGGCAGGCCACCGAACCGCTGAGCTAAATCCCCAGTCCAAGGACAGTTTTTTTTTTTTTG